ATACACATTACCCATCGATTAAAATGAAGATAGGTATGCTCGAAATAAGTGAACAATTGAAAAATATCAAAAACCACCTTCTTCGACGACTGTTTTGCGACCAAACTTCTGGATTTTTGTCTTTTAGAGGATGATTCCTTCTGCACTTCATCCAACTTCCTTTTACCTCTTCTTCCTGACTCGTGGATTCCAGTTTTCTCCCCACGTTTCCCACTGCCCGAACGAGTCATCGTTGAAGTTTTAGAAGACTTCGGATAAACTGTGACTACTGCTTTGGGAAGGAATGTAAAAAATATGTGACCGACAGTGGAAGAAGTTGTTCGGGGAATCACTGGAGAACGACAGTGATGAACGTCCGAATATGGGTTGGATGAACACGGTTTGGATGAATATCGATTTAATCGAAAAATAGGATACGTGAGGGACGTGGGTTTATATGGAAATGACGGTTTTATGGAAAGAACATGCAAGGAGTTTTTAAAGAAAATACAGTTTCTAAAATTTGAATTACGTGACTTTAGGGAGAGATAGTTATTAAATAATTTTAAATTAATTAGGAAATGAAAAAAAAAATCTGATTAGTGAAATATTAAACTTCCACTCTTATTTGGGAAATATGAATAGATAAACTATGGATTTGTGTAATTTCCACTTTGGATAAACCTCTGTGAGCTACTATTACTTTCAGCAATTCTCTAACCAGGGCTAGCCCAATCTAGGTCGAGCTTACAGGCCCATATGATCAGTCTTTCCTGATACAAGCTCTATAATCCATGAATAATGCTATTTAGCACAACGAGTGTTACAACATTAATTTAGATGGCACCATGTGATAAGTTTAATAAAAGGTGAATTTAAGTAATTCATTCAATTGTATTTCTTATTTAATGTCACGTTAATGCCATATAAATTAGCGTTTTAAAACTAAAATTGTGCTAAGTCCATTTGGAGTTGGACTCTAGGGTTGAGCAACTTCAAAATATAGTCTGCATCTTGTCGAGTCATGCTTAAACGAGATGTGGGTATTTTTATCTAGAACTGTCGGAGCAGAGCCAAATTAGACCAAATTGTTGACTCAATCTTAACTCTTTAACTAATAATTTTACTGGTTATGGATCTGAATCAATTCTTGATTCTATTAAATTTTGTTAGATTTTATCATTATGTTTCTTGTAATCTCAACAACAAATTAATAACCAAATTACTTTAAATCCACATGAATTAATGGTATTCAAAATAATTAACACTTTTAACACATCAAAAGTAAAAGCATGAAAGTAAAAGAATAAATTTTAGGCTACATAATTTTAGTCTAGTTTAGTTCTACCAATACTATAGATGGTCATGGAACCAACTATTGTGTGTATATTACGAATCGGTATGAATCTCATCGAAGTCCTACAAAACGAAATCATATTCACATACACTCACGTGTTCTTAGGTGGTTTTAAGGGTGACAAACTAGACGAGTACACGAGCTAGCTTGATAGTGGCTCAAGTTCGTATTGAGACGAGCTCAATATTTTTCAGAAGTAGGCTCATTTAAACTTGTGATCAATTTGTTTTTACTTACTTTATTAGTTTCTTAAAAAATGAGTTGAATCGTGGATAGCTTGAGATCGACTCATGTCCACGCAAGCCAAAAGGTTGAATCAAGCCTTTGTTTGCAGATATGAGTCGAGCTTGAACATCTAAAGATCGACTCGAGTCATCTTGATTCATTGCTATCCTTAAACGGGAGTTAAAATCCGATGTCTAATCAATTAATGAGTAACACATAATTTAACATGTCATCTCAAATTTACCATCGTTAACTTTATCACTAATCCACCAAATTGATGGCATGTTAATTTAAAATCATGTGTTAATCATTAATTGAACGAACAACAAATTGAACAATGAAAATTTAATTCTGCTATATGTACACCGATAGTGGCACACCCTTCACACGAGGAGGGCTCATGCTTTTTATTTTTTAATTATCAGGCATGGGTCCCTCCGTCATGTGAGGAACGTGGACACGTCAGTGTACAAATAATAAAATTCGTAAAAATTAGACAGCAATTTTTAACTTAAATGGTTCGTTTTTTGAAGGGCAACATCCAAGTCTCAAACGGTCAAGCTTTGAAACTTGGACCCAATCCAAACGTCAAGACAAAGTTGGATCGTCTTTAAATCCAATCATCGGACACAAAAACATGTAAGTCGGTTTTGAGAGAGAGAGAGAGAGTAATTAGAAAAGAAATGGTCACCTCGTCAACACCAGAAGTTTGAACGTTCAACTCCCCCAATGACCCCACGAATCTCAAAAAGCTGCAATCCATTTTCCCCAATTCCGAAGCCCTAAATTATACGTACAGCATCTTCTATTCTACGCATTTTCCAGTGACCAAACCCTCAACGATGGCTGCGACGACGGAAGGGAAAGATAAGGTATTGGCCACTGCGCAGCGCATCGTACAGAGCCTCCATAACACTTCCGACACCGATGATATGCTTCTTATCCTCTCGGCGTTCGATAACCGTCTATCCACGCTATCCTCTTTTGTATCGTCGGATGACCCTTCATCGGGTGCCCAAAAGTCTGCCGCCTCCGCCGTGTACCTCCGCTTCGAGGCTGCGGAGCAGATCGTTTTGAACGAGGCGGATTCGTCGTCTTTAACCGATGATTACCTTGCCGCCGTTGATGTGTTAATTCAATCGACCGAGGAATTGAATTTGAATGATCGAGATGGGGAACTTCAGGCTGGGGTCCAAGCGGCTGGCGCCAGATGTGACGTCATGGACCGGGCGGAGAACGCGTTGCATGTGACAATGACGCGTCTGGAGGATGAGTTTCGGCACATTCTCATCCGAAACACGGTGCCTCTGGACCCGGAGCGGGTCCGCCGCTCTTCTCATTCCTCGTCAACCGTTGCCATTGCGGCCCCTCTTTTTTTTGACGATTATTTGACCGAAAGCCTGGATGATGTAAGTAGTGGGCGGTGCAGCCACCACGGCCGTGGCCGGGGAGTGAGTTTTGGGGGAGATGATGTGTCCCTGGATTTGATAAACGAGGATGCTGTAATTGATTTGAGACAGATTGCGGATCGCATGATCCGATCGGGATATGAAAAGGAATGCTGCCAGGTCTATTGTACTGTCCGCCGCGATGTTCTTGATGAATGTATGGTGATTCTCGGGGTAGAAAAATTGAGCATTGAGGAGGTCCAGAGGGTTGAGTGGCGTTTGCTGGATGATAAAATTAAGAAATGGATTCAAGCAGTTAAAGTAATTGCTCGGTCTCTTTTGCCGAGTGAAAAAGACCTCTGTGAGCAGATATTTACTGGGTCTGATTTGATTAAGGAAGTTTGCTTTTTGGAGACAGCAAAGGCCTGCGTAATGCAGTTGTTGAATTTTGGAGAGGCTGTCGCCATTGGGAGGAGGTCCTCAGAGAAACTGTTTAGGATTCTCGACATGTATGATGCTTTGGCGGGGGTTTTGCCAGACCTGCAGTCACTATTTATGGACGAAGAGGCAGGTGACATGGTATGTAGCGAGGCCAAAGGTGTGCTGGATAGTTTGGGTGAGGCTGCCATTGGGACATTTGTGGAGTTTGAGAATGCAGTTCAGGCAGAGTCTTCTAGGAAGACATTGCAGAATGGTGAAATTCACCCACTCACTCGATATGTTATGAATTATGTTAAGCTGCTATTGGATTATAGTGATACTCTCAATGCAATTTTGGAGAATGCAGAGGATGAGTTACGACGGGTGGAGAGCGGGAACTCTGACAATTCAGAGATGAAAAGCATGTCCCTGATAGGTCAGCGCCTGCTGGCATTGACTCAGTCTTTGGAATCAAATCTTGAAGAGAAATCGAGAATGTATGAGGGTACAGCAATGCAGTATATATTTTTATTGAATAATATACTGTATATCGTACAGAAAGTGAAAGATTCGGAGCTTCGAAACCTTTTGGGAGACAACTGGATTAAAAGGCGACGGGGTCAGATTCGACAGCATGCTACACAATATCTCAGGGCATCATGGAGCAAGGCCTTATCTTGCTTAAAGGATGAAGGAATTGGGGGGAGTTCAAGTAATGCATCAAAGGTAGCTTTGAAGGATAGGTTTAAGAATTTTAATGCATGCTTTGAAGATATCTATAGGATTCAGACGGCTTGGAAGGTCCCAGATCCTCAACTTCGTGAAGAGCTCCGGTTATCCATTTCGGAAAAAGTGTTACCAGCTTATCGCTCATTTCTGGGTAGGTTTGGAAGTCATCTAGAAAGTGGGAGAAATGCTGGTAAATACATCAAATACACTTCAGAAGATTTAGAGAATTATTTGTTGGATCTATTTGAAGGGACACCCCTTATTCTGCACCATATGAGACGAAAAAGTACTTAGAATGCAAGATTGGAAACCGGTATGCTTTCTGCCCCTGTCAACGAATAGTTGCTCCCCCCACATTCAGCTTGGTCATGTACTTGTTGGTTTGGATGTATTGGACACAATTTTTTTGTGAAAAATGTCTACCCTTCTCATTATACTGTAATAATTTTGTACATGTACTCTGTTTTATGTTTGAACTAAATTTGTTTCATGTATTTATTAACATGAATCATATTTAGAATTGGAAGATATCTTGGCAACAATCTGATATTATCTGGAAGCTATTGTAGTCTATTATGGTCAATAGTACCTTGCAGTATTTAGGACTTCAGTTGATTCTTACCTTGAACGGGAAGGAAAAATTAAAATGGGGGGAGTGGGGATATGAAGCTAGCTGTGGCAGATGCTGTGTAGTGTTCTCCAAACTGAGTTTTGCCTTCTTGATGATTTTTCTTCTTTGTAAAGTAGAGATTCTTATTTGTAGAGATAGTTCCAGTTGGGGTTTCTATGTAATCTAACATATTTGGTTATGGGACTTGGTATTTATGTGGCTAACCAAAATTGAGCGAACACCAAATTATATGTTGTTATCGGTTTGCTGCCTATCAAATCAAGAGTTTTTACATGACTGCTGCTATTTAAAGCTTGCTCATCTTTTTAACTCTCTTCCTAATCCCTAATCAACCATCTGAAACTTTAAAACGTAAACTGTATTACTTTTGAACTCTCTTCCTAATGACTAATCCACGTAATTGTGCTTCTGTTGTTTACAGGTTCCTCTTTTATATTCACTTATGTCGGATGTTATATGTCATATCCTGTAGAACTGTGGAGGCTTCATGGAAGTCCAATTAGTGAGTTTAGTTTGATTAGCAGAATGATGCTAGTCTAAACTTTGTTTTCTTTCATGGTGAGGTCTACCACCTATTGTACCGACGGGGGCGTTGTATGTGTATAGCTGGAGTTTTTTTTCCCCCTCGGAGATTGATGTTATTTTCTCTTTGCAAATGTATAATCGTTTCTGCTCTTTTTTTGACTTGTTTTTTATGAGGAATAACATCAAGTGATAAGGTAAACTGCTTTTGTTTGTAGATATCTTTCATTACAAAATTCTGATTTACAAATATCAGGTGTAATCTATGAAATCTTAATATACTTCATGGTTTGACTTTGATAATGATTGTTGCTTACAAACTTGGTCTTCTGAAATACAAATGCTAATGGTGGTTTCTTGGAATTACATTTTGGAATCTTACTACCCATAGGAAATACAAATCTTTTTCCTTGACTTTTAGAGCTTGGAATTAGTCATCATTTCCCTTTAAGTTTCTATTTTTAATCAATCAAGCGGTTTCTTGGCTTTTTCGTCTTGATAAAGGGTGAAAATTTGAACAAGATTCTGGTCAAAATGATCAGTCTTGACATCTCAAGTCCCAATAGCAAGTAAATAATATTTTTTTAGAAATGTAGCATTTTTATTCTTTATAGTTGAAATTATTATAGTGACACAAGTGGAAGCCAAGCCATGGAAAAGAATTGTTTCTCGCCAAATTTAAATTTCCAATTTCGCAACTTAACTTATAATAGATAAAAACAAAAACTATAATATTCATAACATCTCCATAGCACGATACGAATCAATGTGAAATGATGCTTTGACATTAAGATAACAAAAATCGACAAATTTTTAGTCCCTTAATGACCCGATCGAAGGTGCTATTTGTTGACCCACTTAATATAAAATTCACTTAGGGAGAATTCATTTCTTCACGTTAAAGTCTAACAAGTACACAATTTCATTTGAATAGATAGAGGTGAAACTTGAACTCAATAACTTGTGCATAATTTGATACCATATTGAATAATTTAATCTAAAGATCAAACGATTAAATACGAACACGTGTATATTATTTTTATTGAACAGTTCATACAGAATAAGTGAATCATACAAACAAAGTCAAATTACTATACAGAAAACACAGTCAAGAAATCTGTCCATTATATGACAGCCAAGGTAGTGCCAGATAGAGATGTTGAGCTCCAGAAACACAAAGAAAGACCAGAAAGTAGCCACATTAATGACCAAAATGACAATCTTGTTAATTCAAAATTCCATTAGAAAAAAAAAAAAAAAAAAAAAAAACCCACCCAAAATTAAACCCTAAAAAAAAATACCCAGCTCAAGTTAGACCCTACTATTCGCAGGCAGGGGCAGAACACCATCGAAAAAGTCGCCAAAGTATCCACGGGGCTCATGTACCAGCTTCGAGATTATGTCTCTTAGTGTAATAACCCCCTCAAGCTCACCAGTCTCATCCACTACATAAATCCGATGGATCTTCATCGAATCAAGTTTAACGATAACTTCTGTCAGTGTCTCATCTCTCCGGCATGTCACCATGCCACTCAACAATGGTGACTCTTTTTGATGCTCCTCTAGATAGCGTCTAATTGCTGTCAAGAAGTTCTTGGCTGTAATAGACCTGTATTAACATGCCAATTTAGTCATCAAAACATCCGATGAATAGCCATTTATTCAGACTTAATCGATGCCATGTACAAGAATCTGGTCACACGCAGTTATAAGAAGTATAAATAACCAAAATCACGAACCTATATTCATTGTAGATTTCAGGAGCAATGAGAAGGAACTGGATATCTCTGATGCTTATATTACCAATTGCCTTATTTCCACCACCTTGAACCACTGGTAGCCCTCCAACTCCCTTTTGTCTCATTAGTTTAAATGCTTGAAGCACGGGCTCATCCTCGTACACCTGAAGAAGATAATGAAACATGTAAAATAAGTTTCCGAAACCCAAGTAAAAAAACTGAAAACTGTATTTAAGATGTTTATATTTGCTGATATATGTTCGAATTTCAGAAGTATAGGAACTAAGTGCAATAAAAGTTTGTCCACAACTGTATCATTGAAATGAAGACGCACAATTACGATGTACAGATCAAAGAATATAGCATTCCAATTTTAGCAGCTTAATATTACAATAATAGAAAAAGAAGAGGTTCATGTTCGAAGACCAAATGATATAGGTTAAGTACAATTCAAACGAACGCCTCAATACACATTTAGAAATATTAATTTCAAATTCTGTGCTATTCTCTTGTTACAGTTGGTTTACTCAGATAAAAGATCAAATCTTGTACAAAAGAATAGAATTTATGTCTTAAAATGACAGCCAAATCCATGCAATTTCTTCCCAGAAAACCCTTAAAACAGCACAAGAGAAAAAAACC